AACGGAGGTTTTCAGGCATAAATTGTGTGCCTCCTCTGTTTTTCCGGCACGAGTCCTGCACACTGCGAATTATCGTGTCTCATTATTTCATAGCTGACGACAGCTTTTGTTTTTTACATTGTCGGACGGACAGCTGATATGATGTCTGGTTTTGTGGTGGGCTGCTTAATGCCAATGGCGCCAACGTGGCGCCTCTTGCATTCGCTGTGTGATAAATAATATTTTAAATGTTACGTCGTTGATAAGTCACCAGCTTAATCGGTTGTCACGCATTAAAGACATACTCTGATATAACCAACATGCGAAAATAGCCAAAAATGACAACAATAAAGTCATTTATGTTGCTTCTCAGGATTAGTGTGCGTAAGTGTAGTACGGCTTTCAGCTGATTGTTGTTTATTTACGCCGTTTACATCGATCACATGTTTAAGCTCTCCTTTGTCGCTAGATGCAAGGAATGGTGCAGTTACTCCTGTAGATCTCGATGAGAAGAGTTTCCCATGGCAAGAAGCCTGAAACAAGACATAATTGTATTACTGGATCCGCAGTGGTCTCAAGAATGCCTTTGTCCAAGATGGGATAAAACGATTGACAGAGGGAAATAAGTTTTGTCTCCTTCGTGACACACTCTTGACGAAGATTTGTGTATAATACTTAAAGAATGTTGCTGATTTCATCATATTAGCCGCTGCATCTGTGTTTGTCCAAAATATGCTGAAACCAGTCTCATTGTCATTATACCATCAGGGTCCACGGGATGAAAAATTATTGAAAGTTTGTCGATCACAATGTTTTGGCTAATATCTTTAATCGCTCAGCCAATATCTTTATGCCAAGTGACACCTAGGTTTTGACAACTTTTGTTGCGATGTTCGTCTGTTCCTTTTGGTCTAGATGGCTCAACAAAGCCTCAGTTTTGACACCTCTTCCCAACATGAGCTACTCTTTCTACGCAGAGTTAATGAAATAGATTGGCGACGCATGCTGCCCAGGTACGTGTGTTCACGAAGCACACCTCAGAACCTCAGATTATACTTGAACCTGTTTAAACCGCTGAAAAAATGATGCAATTCTGCGCACCTTCTGAGCTACGCTTGCAGCGTGTTCTTCCCATGCACGCTGCTTCCAGGATAGCTCTAGATCTTGACTTCTGATTTCCCGCAGAACTCCTCTTTTCTTGCAGCCATTAGATACTGACATAGGCTTAAAACTACTCTGTTTTTAACGCGGGCATGACGAAACACCAAACCTTTTGATTTATACGGATTCAGCTTAAGATCGCCAATGTTACCTAAGGTTCGGCTGCAAACACTGGA